CTGGGTCTTTGACCAAACTCTAATCAGGGGAGCTCTTGCAGAAATGTTAATAATTGATGAGCTTTCTTTTAGGTTTGTTGAGAGGCAGGGGTTTAAAAAGTTTGTCTCTGTAGCATGTCCAAGGCTTGTTGTCCCTTCTAGGTGGACTATTGCTAGGGACATTTACCAAATATATCTAGATGAGAAGTTGAGCCTGAAAAGGTTGTCCAAAGAGACCACCCAAAGGGTCAGTATAACAACTGACACATGGACCTCTATTCAGAGGATCAACTACATGTGTATTACTGCCATTTCATAGATAGTCAGTGGAAGCTACAGAAGAAGGTCATTTCATTTGTGCAAGTGACTTCCCACAAAGGGGAGTACATTGCCAAGGCCCTGGAACATTGCTTATTAGAGTGGGGATTAAAGAATATATTCTCTGTGATTGTTGATAATGCAAGCAGTAATGATACTGCAATATGCTTTTTGAAGAAAAAATTTCTGTCATGGGGTGATTCTCCTGTTAGAGTGAAGTACCTACACAGGAGATGTATTGCCCACATCTTGAATCTGGCGGTCCAAGATGGGTTGAAGGATGCTGATACATCTTTAGTGAGGGTTAGGGAACCAGTGAAGTATGTTAGGAACTCTCCTTCTAGGCTCCAAAAATTTAAGGATATATCTGATTTGATAGGAGCTAAGTCCAAATGTGGCCTGCACCTAGATGTTCCTATTAGGTGGAACTCCACCTATTTGATGTTGAAGTCAGCATTATCCAATGAAAGAGTTTTTGAAGAATATGAGGAGAATGAGAGTTGTTATGGGTCTGATTTAGGTACAGAAATGCCTGATATTGGTGATTGGGTGAATTGTGAATCCTTAGTATCAGTTCTTGAAAGTTTTTATGAAATGACCCTAAGGATTTCTGAATCTTTGTATGTTACTTCTAATACTTTCTTCTCTGAAATTTCTGATTTGTTTCTGGTGCTTCAAGACATGATGAAGTCTCCCAAGGCTTCCACAAGTGAAATGGGCTTTACAGTGAAATCCAAATATGATAAATATTGGGGAGACCCAGAGAAAATGAACTTTCGGATCTTTTTTGCAAATGTGCTTGACCCAAGGGACAAGTTTGAATACATGCCTTTTCAACTGAATGCCCTTTATACTGAAGCAAAGGGTGTGAAGTTCTTTGAAAGTATCAAGCTTGCTTTGCATGAGTTATTTAATGATTATGTGTCCAACTACTCTGATTCTGGTACTGGAAGCAATATTTCAAGCTCAACTCCCTCTCAAACACAATTAGAGACTGTGTCTGCAAGACCTGTCTCCAAATTGAAAGCCCAGCTTAAAAAACAGAAGTTTGAGAATGGGCAGTTGGGTTTGAAACACAGTGAGCTGGAACTGTACTTGAGTGAGGCCATAATTGAAGAGGATACAGATTTTGACATTTTAACGTGGTGGAAGTTCAACAGTGAGAGGTTTCCCATCATCTAAAAAATGGCTAGAGATATTCTTGTTGTTCCAATCTCTACTGTTGCATCTGAGTCCACTTTCAGTACTAGTGGCAGAGTGTTGGACTGTTTCAGAAGTTCATTAAGTCCTAAAATTGTGGAAGCTTTAACTTGTACTCAAGATTGGCTAAGAAATCAAAACCACCCTATCTCAGTTGAAGAAAAGATAGATGAAGTTCAAAGGCGGGAAACAGGTGCATTTAAAGTTTTTTTTCTTTTACATATAATGTACTTTATAAGTTTTATTCTACACTAAACAGGCTGGTTTGTTTTTTTGCAGAATTAATTGATGGTCATGTCACTGCTGATCCTGATGGCCATGTTGGTGGATCTTCTCAGGATCCTATTGCAGTAAAAACTGCTTTCATGCCTTTCATTACTTATTTATTGTTGACAGTGTGAATGACTAATTTATTTAGCAGTTTTGATTGGATGATGGAAGCAGTAAATCTAGTAATGAATGGTAACACAAGCTTATTGCCCATTTGCCCCTTGTGAACTTAGAATGAACGGTAACACAAGCTTATTCTCCTTTAATCATTTCAATCATCTATTGGGTAATAGATTAATGGCTTTGGCTATGATGAAGCTTCCACAGTCAACTGATTTTTCATGGGTTGGTGTTGTTTTTTAAGTGCTGGCTTGGTAACTATAGGTCTATAGATGCCGCCAGTTACTTCAAATGTTTATGCCCCCATACAAAATTTGTATTCAGAAAAGAAGTTATCTGAGCCTATGTCACTTGTTAACTGTTTAATGGTAATGCAATCTTATTCTCCCTTTATCATTTCAATCATTTACTCAGTTACTTGGCTATGATGAAGTAATGGGTTGGTGTTCTATTAAGTTATGGCTAGGTAACTATAATTGTCGTCATTTACTTGATATAATATGCCTCCATACAAAATATGATCTGAAAATTAGCTATCTGAGCCAATATTTATGCATGACAGTGTGATGATTACAGATTTACAGGTTTTTAACAATATTATTTGTTTAGAGGCTTGATATGTACTATAGTACTTAATTGACATTATTGTATTTTTTAAGGTTCAAGTTTGAAGGCAGTATAAAACAGTTGAATGAGAGCTTATGGATTGTTTTTGTCAATTTGTGTTATGATTATTTTGTTGTGTGTTAAACACTCTTGAGTATTACTTGGTTAGTCAGTTTATGAACTAGTAAGTTCATTAACTGTCTTTCTTTATGAACTGGGGTATGCCCCTTTTATTGTGTAATTTTTGTCACTTTTGTTATGTGTTAAACACTTAATACTCAAACAGTCAAACTCCTACTTTGTGAATTAAGGTATATCATATATGCCCCTTATGGCCTTATGTAGTTATATAAGTTCTAGATTGTGTAGTTTTTGTTCATTGTGTTATGCATTATCATGTAATGTTAAAAGAACTAATTTTTTTGTAAATTAGTTCTCAATTTCGGATATCTGAAATACCCGAAACCCGACCCATACCCGACAGAATCTGAAACTTAAAATATCCGAAATATTTTTACCATTTTCTTTAAGGGTTGGGTTAAAGAATATTACCCCGATACCCGAACGGGTTTACCATTTATTAACCCGACCCGCCCGAACCCGACCTGTGCTCTCCCCTAGGTAGGGGGTGGATAGGTGGGTATGGTTGGGGGTACGATGGTAAGGGCTAAGGGCGGTGGGGGGGGGGTAAGGGTCAGGGTGGGGTGGAGGTAGGGGCATGTGGTAGGGGGTAAAGGGGTAGGGTCGGGGTATGTAAGGGGTACAAGTGGGGGTGGGAGTGGGGGTAAGGGGGTGGGTAGGAGTCAGGGTGGGGTCGTGGTAGGGGGTAAAGGGGTAGGGTCAGGGTAGGGTAAAAGGGTTACGGGTGGGGTGGGGTAAGGGGTGTGGTCGAGTGTATGGTGGTAAGGGTTAGGGGTGCGGTAGGGTAGGGGTCGGGGTGGGGTCAAGGTAGGGGAAGGTTGTAAAGGTTAAAGGGGTAGGGTCAGGGTAGGGTAAAAGGGTACGAGTTGGGTGTGGGTGGGGTAAGGGTAGGGTAGGGATAAGGGGGTAGGAGGGGTAAGGTAAGGGGTTGGGGTTGGGGTCGAGGTTGGGGTGGAGGTAGGGGCAGGTGGTAGGGCTAGTGTAGGGGTAAACAAGGATGGGTAAGGGTGGGGTCAGAGTGGGGTCGGGGTAAGGTAAGGTGGGGTGTGTAGTGGGTAGATGGACAACAATAGATTAAGAGCAAAGGGTAAGGGTAAGGGTAAACTCGGAAACTGAAAAAACTTAGAATGCCGCTTAATTAATACATGGGGGGAGATATGCTTAGTAAGCGGCGCTTTAAGCACCTCTTTCGGTTAGTAAGCTGCTTTTAAAAAGTTTGCGTGTTTACTTCACATGTTTTACTAACCTAACTGTGACTTTAGCAATGAAGTAAACACCTCTTAAGAATTATTATTAGCTCTAATTCAAAGCAATTTAAATTTAAGGATAGCCATACTTTGGTAATCAGAACTATCTTATCAATTCCACCGGCTAAAATTGAGGTAATCAGAACACATGAGAAATTGGTTTTGAGCATTGCTTCATTTTCAACCTTTACTAGCTTCGTCCGAATTTGAAAAGTTATTTTGTACTTATGGGGAGTAAGCCTAAAACCTCCGGCATTGGAAGCAAGGGTGAAGGCACAAATAGAAAATCTGTCCTTTCTGACAAAATATTTTGAAAGCGGTATGCCGGTATATGAATGCCTTACGAGCTGAGGCATAAACTGACATCCCTACAATAAGACATTGACCACTTATAAAATTTAGCTAAATGAATACATGTAATTGAATATTAATATTCATTGTATAGTACCATGCATATTATAATATAAAATTTTGTTATGGATAAAGTATACTCCGTATTAATTATCCAAAATTAGAAGACACCAAAAAGTATAAAAAGTTTATGTAAAGCTTCATGTCCCAAAAGCATAACATAAATGTATTTATGTATTATCAAATATTAAATGACACCCACAAGTTTGATGTATATAAATATTTATATTTAGAAAATAGAAATCTGATTTTCAAGGTAACACAACTAAAATCATGAAAAACATCTTACTACTCCCATTCTGACGACTATCCATTGTTATTATTTATTTGAGAAAGGATGGTATGTACATCTAAACAAAATTTATTACATTAACCTAAGTTCAACTTATTTATTTCCAAACACGATTTTACACATAAACCTAGATTCACTTAGGTAACCTAGTTTTTATTAAAACTTAGGTCTACTACATTGCACTAGGTTTACTTAAGTTCATTATATCCAAATAGAGCATAAAACGAGAAAAAATGAAAGTCGGGGCGCAAAAACTCATGTAGAGGCCGTTTGATAACACTGTTTTTCAGCTAATCAGGCTTATCAATCATCTTTTTCACCAAACACGTAACTTTTGTTTTTCAAAATAATTTTTTTTACATCAGCAAAATCAGCTTAAATTCAAACTTTATAAATTTGAGCATTATCAAAATTCTAGAATGGCTAGAACTTGGTGACCTACGTGTGGAACTTGGACCCCTGCTCGGCTTCATTTCAGATCCGGCGGCATCTGACTCTCTTCTGATTGACACTCAGCTCCTCTCAAAGTCATCACTTTATTCATTTTAATCACTGTTCGCACCCCTGCCCAAACACGCAGAGGTGTGTTTAGAGAGAGAGAGAGATAGGGATGGATGCTCTGAGGAAGCAAGCCAGCAAGCTAAAAGAACAAGTTGCCAAACAGCAACAGGTCTGCATTTTTTTCTGCTTTCCTCGTTATGTTTTCCGCATGGGTTTTTATATAATATGCACGAAATTATTCCCAATATATCTAATAGCTGTCTCGTGTTATCTCCACGGTTCTTTCTTAATGCACAGTTCAACTATAAATCTTGATCTTGGTTTCCTTTTTACATTTTACTTCAACTATGATTAGGGAGTAGATAATTGTAGAGATTCCCGTATTTTTGGCAATCCGCAATTACAAAATACACAGATTTAAACATTGTAGCAACAACAGTCTCGAATTCTAATGTACTATAGAGGAAAAGGAATGAAAATGTGGGGAAATGTTGAAACTTTTTATAATTTGTTTAGATGAATGCCAATATGTTGAAAAATTCTTGGCGGTGGAACATGATTTGAAGGCCTAAAATTTAAGGGTCAGTTTGGATGTAGGACTTTGGAGGCTTCAGAGGGTATGGGTTTGGAAGAATAGTTCTGTATCTTGATAAAAATTTGAGTTTTTACAAAAAAATGAAGGATTATACATTGACTTCTATTCGTTTTTAGATATATATTGTATTTATAAGGATAAACACTAACTGACTATGGCAACCAAGTCAGGACCCTCCAAACGGACCGTCATGGTCTGTTTGGATGGAGGGTTTTGGAGGCAAAGGCTTTGCACAACTTAGTTTATATTTTAATTCATATCCAAAGATCACTGTAATATGAGATTGATAGTAAACATTTCAATACACTTTAGGATTACTCTCTGGAGTATTTTGAAGATATAGACTAACCCCTCCATACTCCTCCGAAACCCTCCATCCTAGCAGATCCTTTGGGGTAGTTCCCCCGATCATTGCTGGTGGGGTTTTTGGTTAACTGTTAATGTGGAATTTGGAAATTCAGGCGGTAATAAAGCAATTCAGTACGAGTGGCTATGAAAGCTCAGATGTGATGGTTATTGATGAGGTTGAGATGCAAGTGCACCAACAGTTGGAAAAACTGTATCGATCTACCCGTACTGGAAGGGTATGAAACATTATGAGCTTTGAGTATTTTGTGAGTGAATCTTCAGATCTTCTGTTTATTAATGCATTAATACTTTGATTACGTGTTGGACAACCTATTGTAAGAAAAACTGTGAAGTGCTGATTATCAAGAAGACTAGAACAATCATAAATATAGTTTGATGCATTTGCAAACAGAATTAGATTAGACAAACTAATATTATGAATCTTTTATATCATCCTAAGGCCCTTAAAACAACAATTATTGAACTCTATACTATGACTTTAGCGTTTACTGCCTCATTCGTTTTGTCTATAAAAGTTGTCGTCATACGAAGTTTTGACATCTAATGTGTACAGGAATTCCAGAAAGACATTGTCAAGGCAGCTGAAATATTTACAGCCATTGGTTATAAGCATATAGAAGCAGGTAGCGATTGTTATTTCTTTCAAGTCCCAATGTTTTGTTTGTTAGCACTAGTTGTAGTTTAAAATCTTAAAAAAGTTAAGATGCAAGGTTTCATTTTCCCACTAGTCATTAAGGCTATATTTGGAATGCAAAATGAACTTTTTAATAGGTTTTAACTTGGACACAACGAAAGAAAATCGATTTTGATTAGAACTCATTAGTATTTTTATAAATTTGTAATTTTTTGCATTGCTCAATTCTTCATGTGATTCAATAAGTTTGAACTGAGATCCAAATTTGATTTATTGAGGTTGAGGTAGTTTTTATTTACCTCCAAATTTCCCCCATATTTTCCATACAATTATCTTCTCTTACATTTTCTTGGTTCCAATGGACCCTAATTGTTGGTGTGCGTAGTTAATTCTTTTGAGTATTGTGGCTATCAAGGAACCAAGCTGTCTGAAGATTGCTGCAAGTACAGCATTGAAAATGTCAACGATGAAGTTCTATCTAAAGCTGCATCTATCTACGGTGATGCTCGTAATCATGTGGAGAAGGAGGTTGAAGACCTGAATAGATTATTGTTTAATCAGGTTGGTCAATCTGTTATCTGATTTTGATTTACCTTTTGAGATTCAGAGTTTCTAAGACTTTTTGTAAAAGCACTAATCTATTAGACACTAACTAATTGTACATGAGATTATATCATTTATTAGTCTTTTCAAGCTGTGAAGCTAAATGGTTCCCTTTTATTTGTGTTGAAAATCTGCTTTCTCTACTTAAACCCTATGAAGTCTAGATTGTGACTTATTAGGCTCTACTAGGTCAGTTTGGAACCCGCAAAAATGCTATGGAAAGAAAATATGAAGGAAAATAAAGGGGGGATTTGAAAGGAAATAAAGTTTGGGAAAAACTTTAAAAATTGCTTCAAATTCAATAAATCAATTTTTTATTTTTATTCAACTTTTTTCTTTATGTATTTAGATATAATATTAAGCCTAATACTTATAAATATAAGTAAAAAAATGAAAAATTATACGGAGTATTCAAAATTGAATTTCCTTCCTAATCTTAGGGTAATAGGAGATTAATAACAAAACTATTTTCATAGCACCCTCTCTCCTTACCATTTTCCGCATCCCAAACACGACTCATGGGGTTGATACTTTTAGTTCCTAAGTGCAGCTAATAGTTGCAATGGTGCATGCCTTCACAAAGGAAATTTTTATTATTGCAAAAAACATTGCTTTTCTGTTCTAGGCTTCACAACAATTCACAATAAAGATTTAATTTAGAAATTGCGAAGTACAGTTTATTGTTGGTTTCATTTAATCATTCTATATTGCACCTATTGTTACTGATATATTTTTATTTTTAGGTTCTAGAACCTTTGAGAGCAATGATAAATGGAACTCCTCTAGAAGATGCTCGTCATCTTGCTCAACGTTACAGTCGCATGAGGCAAGAAGCAGAGGCTCAGGTAACATGACATCTATTTTTCTTAGGTCAATATATACTGGTTAGCTGTAAGAGCTTCTGCTCATGAGCTTTTATTTTTTATTATTTATTATTTTCTTTTATTCGTATTGATTTTTTAAAAATATGCTTTTGAGCATATTTTAATAAGAACATAAATATAACAAGCAGGCAGCGGAAGTTTCTAGAAGACATGCACGGGTAAGAGAAGCTCCAATTCCAGAACATGTGACAAAACTGCATGCAGCAGAATCTAAGATGCAGGAACTGAGGGCAAATATGGCAGTACTAGGCAAAGAAGCAGCGGTGGCATTGTCTGCTGTTGAATCACAGCAGCAGAGGCTTACGTTTCAGAGGCTTTTAGCTATGGTATTGTTCTAGAGCATCTTTTTTATGTACTACACCCATCCCAACAAAAAGAGTCAGGTTTCACCAAGCTACAAGTGCAACCTTTTATTTGTGGTAAAGGTACAATGGTACAACTATTGGAAACAATCAATTATACGCTTCTAGCTATTTTTATATTCTCTTGTCACTTGCTCTGCTTTCTTTTATGGGATTTTATTATTATTTGTTCCATTTTAGATTTTTGGCAACTTTTTCTATTTTTTGACCTCTCAAAGACATAAATATCCTTATTTTTTCATCCTCTTTTCAACTTCTCCTACTTTTCATTTTCCTGCTCCTACCTTTTCACGTCTCTCACACTATTCACCACCCCTACAACTCTACTCTTATTTTTTTTCCAACATGTAATGGAATGACAGAAAGTGAATCGATGGAATAATTTTATTTTGTGTTGGTTTAACTAAGTTTGCCATATGTAACTTGAACTTGACTCTCTTTTTGTCCATTTTTTTCAAATTATATGAAAGAGAAACTTGGTTTGATATTTCAACTTGTATGTGGTGTTTCTTAAGTTCAATGAATATTTTGTTTTACAAGAAAAATATTTATTATGTTATTTTAAGTGATTTTTAATATTAGTTGTTATTTTTTAATATTTTGTGTTAAAAATTGAGGCTTACACCTCATTGCACAATGAGGCTTACACAATACACAATTATGCCAAACATTAGTTTGATCAGAATTAGACTTTGTTGGACAGATATTTTTAGGTAGAGCTATAGAGGTAGTAGTCAGTATCCCTTTCACAGACCCCCCCCCCCCCTTCCACTCACACACATCGGGTGGAAGCTTCAGTGGAAGCTTCAGTACTCGCTATGGTAGTTGTGCACTTTACCCACAATGTAAATGTATAATTTGAATAATATTAAAACTACGTGGAGCTTATATCCGCAGCGGTTATTGATATGATACTTCTTTCTGAGAGTATCATTTCTAATGAAACCAAAAGCACATTTATGCTATATTTAAAATGATTGAAGTAATTGAATTTGCTGAAATTGTAGTTGAAATGATTTTATCTGTGAAGGTTGAAGGAGAGAGGCAATACCATGAAAGGGTTGCTGTTATTCTAGGCAATATTGAAGCTGAGGTAGGTCCCGTGTTTGGTTTTGGAAATATTCTTTTCATATATCATGGGGAAGTTTTTCCTGACATGTATATCCTGATGGTAGATGGTCTCAGAGAAACAAAGGAAAGAGGGTAATCCTCCTGTTGTAGCACGTCCCATAAACCCAATAGTTCACTTTTCAGAGAAAACAAAATACTTTTTGGCTGAGGTAACGTCTAATCGAACTCTTGTTTGTTATTCATTTTTTACTTTGAAGTTCAAAAGGCCTTCAAATTTGGAATGAAAGAAGGCTGAGGTAAAAATAAATGCACAGTTCAAATTTGGATGTTGTTGTATAAAGACAAAGAGATCTAATTAGGTGCAAAATTTTAAAAAGATTTAATTACACTGGGTTGTTCTCTATGCTTCATACCCAAGGTGAAGTGAACAAATTCGCTAGTACGTTTTTATATTTTCCCTACCCTTTTGCATGTTCCAAACATGGCCTAACTGTTGTAAGTATTTATCCTCGTGGACATTGAGGCTCAGGTGCTCAAGTATTACCGTGATTGTTGCAGGCAATTCATACTTTTGAAGGTGAATCGGAGAAGGAATTGAGCTTGTCAAAGGGAGATTATGTTGTAGTTCGGAAGGTTGCTTATATTTTCTGATCATTTGTCTCTACTTTTTTTGCCGCATGTACTTGATGCCACCCTTAATATGACTCTGATATATTCTGTAAATATTACGGAATATATAGCTAGCTTGTCTCTTTTCTATATTGTAGGAATTGTAAGGTGCTTTTTAGTTGCATAAAATCATATCTAGAGTCCCTCATCCAAAACATGCATAAGTGTTGATGTGTGTGTGTGTATATATATATATAAGGCACATTTATCTTCTAAAAATCATTTGAGTGTCTTCTCAATTGAATTTTAGCTGAAATTGGATACGGATAAACTAGAATTGATGAAAAACATGCAAAAAAAGATCAGCAAAAAATACCATCTGGAACCGCCCCTAAAGACGGAGGCCGAACGGCGTTCCGATCAGTAATTTTCTGACCGGAAGATTACTCTATATATACATACATATATGCTAATCCACTGAATTGGGCGTTGTGATATGGCTTAGGTGACATCATCAGGATGGTCAGAAGGAGAGTGTCAAGGTAGGGCAGGTTGGTTTCCCTCTGGATATGTAGAGAAACGCCAGAGAGTGCCTACCAACTATACAGCAGCTGAAGTCTACTGAGAGATATGAATGAGAGAATTCATTCACTTTGTGGCCTACTCCGTATAAAAGTTGTACCCTCCGAATGATTTGAAGTTACATTCATTAATATAACACCTTTTCCTTGCATGTGTTTTGATTTTATGCTTTTGTTTTAATAATGATAAGAGTAATGAGCAAGATATAGTCATAAAACGTCCTCTGGGCTCTAGCGAATGTAAATTTAGGGCTACGACTGATTTTTTGAACGAGCAGTAAAAATTAGTTGTGGATCCGGGTAGACACGGTCCCAGAAAGGCAGAAACAGCTGTTTTTTATCTGGCACCATGAATGACTGAATGAGGAACTGGAAATGGGAAGCGGGCCAGAACGAAACTGGTAACGGTCTCGGCCATGCATGATGGGAGTGGATCCGGTAACGGTTAGTCATGGACTCGGGCCGGGTCGGGTCCGGTCGGGCCTAGGCCTGGTCGGGCTTTTGATTTTTGGTAGAAGGCCCGGGGCCAGCCCGGGTTACCACCTGGTACGGTCCGGGTCGGGTTGGGTCCATGTATTTTTTTCTTTTCTTATTAACACCCGACCCCCCCTACGCCCCACCCCCAAACCCTCCCAAAACACCCAACCCAACTTAGGAAAAATCCCAAAACAATGAAAAAATAATAAAAAACAGGCCCGAACCCGGCCCGCCCAGGCCGGTTCCAAAGAAGGGGGTGAATCGGGACCGGGCCTAGGCCCAGAACCAAAACCGGTACACCGGGCTGGGCCGGGCCCACACAGTAGCGGATTGGGCTGGTTCCCAGGGCGGGCGGCCTGAACCGGGTCCAACACTATTAACGGTCCTTGCCCCGCATGATGGGACTGGATTTGGCCGGTCCATTCCAAGTCCGTTTCCTATTCAATTTTTTATATTTCATTTGTTCTTTAATAGTTGTAACACTTTGAATTTTACGCTATTCACATACCATAATTTGATCATTACTTACTAATGTATATAATCAAGAGATTCAAGAACTAGAGAAGTTTGGGAGATGGAGCTATTGAGTGGCTAACACGTTTTTTTCAATATGAATTGGAGAAATAACAAAATGTCATCCTTACATCATAAAACCGAACGCTTTAAGTTCTCAAAATAAGAGTTGAATAAGAATTTATTCCCTTTTTATCCCTGCTCATATTTAATTGTCTCTCGGTTCCGTCCTTCAATTCCAGACTGTCGCAACTTTTCTCTCACTTGTTTTGCTTTACACCTTTCTTCTCCCATCCACTCCTCCTTCCCCATACCCATCCCATTCTATACCATCGTAATTCATCACATCATTTGCATCTCCATGTTGCAAATTTTCTCCCCATCTGCAATTCGTTGGTGAGTTTCATTGTCTAGAAAAAATCACTCCGCATCTGGGTCGAATTTAGGTGGTGTATTTCAAAGACCGGCGGAAAATTACTACGGATCTATGTCTAATTTGAGGTCAGTATTCTTCTTTTATATTTCTTTTTCTTCTCCATCTCCTTCTTCTTCGCCTCTCCTTCCTCTATTTTTGTATTCAATTATTTTGTTAACTATCCAGATTTTGAATTAAAAGATTACATTTTAGATTTGTAAATGCAAGACTTCATTAACAGTTTTTCAGAAATTTTTAAGTTTCAATTTTTCTCTTAATTTTGAGTAATTTTTTTTGTATATAAAATAAAAATACTTCTTCTATTCATAAAAAAACAAAAAATGAAATGATTTTTTATTCATTCGACCATTGCAATTAAAGTGTCTTTTTAGTTTATAGCATTAAATAATGCCATTTTTAATCATTTGCCATTTTTTTTTGCAAATAGTGCCATTTTTAATTTCTTGGCAAATGACACTAACTGTATTAAAACGGAAATATTACTTGAAATAATTATATAAATATGACCAAAATAAAGATGATTTACAAAAATATTACTAATTACTAGAATAGTAATGAAATCATAGTATTTCATGTTCAAGTTTTGAACATAAGTTACCACAACACTATGTTGTGGTAATGAATAGTCATATTTATGTAAATAAATTTTATTTTAGTAATATTCTTATAAAAAAACATATTACTTCTAATGCCATATAAAAATGGTACGGAAATTAAAATGGAATTATTACTTCTAATGCCATTTTATAGATGGCAAATGTCATAATATGTCATTATTATTACTCTGTGTGAAGATGGCAAATTGGCAACTACACCAATCAAAAAATTAAACTTGCAAGATGTGATAGTCACGTTGGAAAATCCCCAGTCTCAGCATAAGAAGTGGCGGCGGCGGCACAGACGGTCTCCATAGAGGCAGCAATAGTGGCGGCAGAGGCAAGGCGGCGGCGATTGAGCTGGTTGATGGTGGCAGCGGCTGCAGATGAGACAGTAGCAGTGGCGGCTTGAGGCGGCCAGTGGTGGCCTGTGGTTCCTGGCGCCCGGCGGCGTCTGCCGTTAGTCGACGGCGGTGGCAGAGAGGGGGTGGCCTTCCCCTAGGTTATGTCGTCTTCCAATGGTTTATCAGTAGTCATGCTGTACTGTTATACAAAGCATAATTATTTTGTTTCCAAGTAAATATACAATGTTATCAATAAGGAGGGTGATTTTGTCAAACCCTTATCCTTTTACTCCTATTTACTCCTACGAAACATACAGCTCCAACTTTTGCACTTGTGTAATGTTTTACTCCTAATTAGGTAATTATCCCACTCTTATACTATGACTTTGTTATTGGTTCTCCAATTTTTTCAAAAAATGTAACAAAATTCATAAATTGGTATAATATTTTATATGATACCAATATTACATATATAAAGTTTACAAAACAAAATCTCAAATTTCAACTGTTGGAGATTTTTTTGGGCTAAAAAAATACACGAAACACAAATTTTAAATCCGTGAAGCCTCCACAAATAACCAAATATTACATGAACTCATTTTTATTTTTTATTAAAACTGAAAAGTAAAATATAATTAATGATTTTCTTTTTTATTTTTTAACATAAAAATGAGTATTTTTTCTAATTTCATAATTATCCTTAAAAAACAAAAAAATAACAGTACTTAAAAAAAATTAATTAATGTTCTTGTAAAGTAATATTTTAAAGAATATGTTAATATATTTTATGAACGGTGCTGAAATGCAGGTAAGGGGGTATTGACGGAGTCTAAACACTGTTTTCGTATATACAAAATCTCATATTTAAGTTTTTAAATATTTCAGAGATGCAGATGGTCTAAGGTTGAAAAGTTGAAAATAAGAGTTAGCAAGAACACTCTAAAGAACACTCCATCTATCCTAGAAAATATAGTAAAAAAATAATAGTTCAAAAAAAAAATTGAGTGAAAACTGAGTGATTTAGATTTGTGCAAAAAAATTTAATAGTTCAATCACATATTCACATTTATTATACCACGTACTAATATAAATGAAAATAATAGGTCTTCCAAATTTGGTAGTAATTACTCCTATTTTGGGAATAAAAAACATGACAGTCATATTTTGGAATTTTCAAACTGTTTTAGTCCTATTTCGAGAACTTTCCCAAAAATATAATAGTTCAATCACATATTCACATTTATTATACTACTACTAATAAATGAAAATAATAGGTCTTCCTGGGAGGGTTAAATAGTGAAATTTGGAATGAGCTTATAATTGAATACTGAATAGTAGTGGTTTTATTGGTAACCAAGTTAATTTTTCATAACATTTGGTGCGATATGCAAATCCCGTTGCACACATATCCGCGCCTTCATATCCTGCATGGCACACACAGAGAAAGCTCATCTTCTTCCATCAAATCTCTCTCTTTAAATCTTGTATCCAGACATTTCCGAAACCCTGCTTCTAACCATCTTTTTTCTTTTCGCGCTTCTTCTAGACTTATGTAAATGGACTGGGTTTGTAGAAATATCGCTTGGAGATCCCAATTCTGCCTCGCAAATGTCGGTGTTGGAGATGGAATCGATTGAAGACTGTCGCATTTTTATTACAATTTCGGTATCTTTCATCTTCTTGTCTTCTACCCCATTACATATGTTTTGGTTGTTCATTGATTTTTTCGTGACATTTTCCTGAACATTAGTGACAGTTCCGCTGTGGATTTGAGGATCAGTTGTCATTTAACTTGTAATGATTCTCGAGCTAGGTTATTGTCTTTGGACCTCATAAGAAGTTTTTCTTTTCGTTTTGAGGAAATTTATGGCCTCCTAAGAAATTCCAAGAATTAAACATTTGGCAATGCATACCCGAAAGTTCATTTCAATTTCAAAGGTTTTATTAAATTTTCAAACTTGAGTGTTTAGCAAGCTCTTTGGATGGGATGCATATTCTTTACTATATGGTTTTACTTTCTTTACTGGCTTCTTTTTAAAGTCTTTGTTTGGGTTTAACAAAGAAACAGAGAAGAGAGATCAGAGAAGTAGTACTCCAAGCATATCTATGGTACATGTTTTGTATTGTTTGGCAGGACAGAAATGGAGTAGTGGTAGGTTGTGATTATGAAGAAATTTATATCACTCCTATATTGGTTATTCATTGAACTCTATTTCTCTTCTGAGTTCTGACGAAAGGAGAAAAATGCTCCATTTCCTTACGATTAATTTCCTTCACAAGTTCCTTCCTCTAAACTTTCCTCTATTATATGTGAAATATGATGGAACGCCAATTTTCTTACACTTATGATTTCCTTTTTCACCTCAGAATCAGCCACACAGCAAAGAGATGCCAGGTGTCCAGTATGATAATGATTCTGTTGTGCCGCCAGCAACTAGATTGGAGAGGCTTTTGAGATCAAGGGAGTTAAGAAAATATGGCAGGTCTCATCATTCAAATGAAGGTGGAGTAAGAGATTGTTGTGGTTTACATGATAGCGATGCGAAAAGATCACTAGAGGATAGTTTTCTTGAAGGAATTTTTGAAGCGACTAAATTACCTTGTGATGGATATGAAAGGATAGATGCGCACGCGAGGAAACAACGATTATTGGTGGTGGCAAATCGCTTACCGGTAGCCGCAACAAGAAAGGGAGAGGACTCATGGGCTCTTGAAGTCAATGTAGGAGGACTAGTCAGTGCACTCTTAGGTAATCAATAATGTTGTATGTTGATCTGTTAAAATAACATACCTAATTCCCAGGCTTCCCTTGGCTGCCTACGTTTTTTCCTTGAATCCAACTAGTCTACTCCTGCCTATGCTTCACATGCTGCTGCTCGACTAGCGGGTTTTAGAGGCTAATTGCCCAAATGTTGGCATAACTATTTGATTTGTATCCTATTTGTACGTCAACCCTTTTTATGTATCAAAATAGTACCCCAAACAATGACAAGTGTTACATTTTGAGATACCACCTACCAACGTGACTTTCGGTGGAATTTGATTGAGTTGATAACCAAAGTATGCAAGAAATGTCATGTTATGTTGAAGGAGAGCATATTTATAGAATAAGATTTTGTCGTGCAATGATGTTTTTGACACACCAACTTCCATTCAACACATTTCAAGAGTGTTGGAATCATTAAATGGCAAATGACAGTTCCACGTGACTGCTTTCATTATCCTTACATGATATGTAGTGTTTGAATGTGTATTCAATTCTGGCGGTTAAATGTAGTTACATTTGACTAGAATTTACTTTGGTAGTATGGAATGTAACATTTGTCAAAAGTCAGGGCCTCGGTGGACCATTTTGATTCATTTAGTAGTTGGGTGCCAAAATGATAACATCAAGCAGTTATGGTACCATTTGAGCGTTTAACCCTTATACCTTTATAGAGCATTGTCCCTCCGATGAACCAAAATTTCTTTGGAAATACTTTCTCCATATCTAAATACTCCGGACATCAGGATTTTGAACGGAGTTTAAGGATGAAATAGAAAGAGTAGTGAATAGTGTAGAAAAAGGGGGAAAAATAGGAGAGAAGTATGAAAAAGAATGAAAGAGAAGATGAAAAAGTAGAAAAAGTAAGTGTAAGGTATTTTTAGTTGAAAAACATTCCAAAAAGCGAGTGTTGCAAATACTTAAATATGGACCTAAAGGGAAAGTCATGCAAGTATTTAAATACGGAGGGAGTAGCTTATTTATTATGACTTTAACTTTTACTGATTATTTTCATCCAGGTGTTGCTGAGTTTGAAGCAAGATGGATTGGGTGGGCTGGTGTGAATGTACCTGATGAAATTGGACAGCGATCGCTTTCCAAAGAATTAGCTAAAATGGTTCATAATACTTGTTCCTAACTTATCCATTTGTCTATGTTGATTGGTGTAAGTTTGAGGAATAAATTTCCTTGATTGAATAAGCCAAATGGCCCGAGTATAAATACACTTTGTACAGATAACTATGAGCTAGTACAGATCCTAAAAATTAGGATCTAGATAACTATGAGCTTATCTACAACTAACTGCATCTATCCTAGTCTATCCGACTAGATATGTACATCAAATTAATTAGAAAAAAAAAAATAATGTAACATTTTTCTACACTCCCCCTCAAGTTGGTGAATATATATCGTACATTCCCAACTTGCTTATAAGTAGCTCAAATATAGGTCTAAATAACCCTTTGGTGAAGATGTCAGCTGTTTGATCTTTAGTGGATACAAATGGTGTGCAGATGATTCCAGCTTCAATCTTCTCCTTAATGAAATGTCTATCCACTTCAATATGCTTAGTTCGATCATGTAGCACAGGATTATGAGCAATGCTTATAGCAGCTTTATTATCACAATATAACTTCATAGGCAGCTCAATCTCCATCTTCAGTTCTGTGATTACTCGTTTGATCCAGAGTAACTCACATATTCCATTAGCCATAGCTCTGAATTCTGATTCTGCACTACTTCTAGCAACCACATTTTGTTTCTTACTTCTCCAGGTTACTAGATTTCCCCATACATAAGTACAGTATCCAGAAGTAGATCTCCTATCAGATATTGAGCCAGCATAATCTGCATCAGTGAAAGCTTCAATTGTCCTATTGTCTCCCCTTTTAAAAAACAATCCCTTCCCTGGACAGCTCTTCAGGTATTTCAGAATCCTGTAAGTAGCATCAAGGTGTTCTTGGAGAGGATGATGCATAAACTGACTCACCATGCTTACTGCAAATGCAATATCTGGCCTTGTGTGTGCCAGATATATTAATTTTCCCACCAATCTTTGATATTGGTAAATATCAACTGGAATTCCCCCCTTGATATCTCCCAATTTCTGACTTGGGTCAATTGGAGTGTCTACTGGTTTACATGCACTCATTCCAGTTTCCTGTAGAAGATCTAAGATATATTTTCTTTGTGAGACAACAATGCCCTTCTTTGATCTAGATATCTCCATTCCTAGGAAAAATTTTAAATTTCCTAGGTCTTTGATCTCAAATTCATGAGCAAGTTTGTCTTTCAACCTTTTAGTCTCTGTGTGATAATTTCCTGTGAGGATAATATCATCTACATAGACAATTAAGATTGCAATCTCCCCCTTACCTGAAAACTTCATGAATAAAGTATGGTCAGCTTGAGCTTGATTAAATCCTTGCTTCTTTATGAACTTTGTGAACCTGTCAAACCAGGCTCTTGGAGACTGTTTAAGTCCATATAAGGCCTTCTCTAATCTGCAAACTTTTGACCCAAACTTATTTTCAAACCCAGGAGGAGGTTCCATGTACACTTCTTCTTCAAGTTTCCCATTTAAAAAAGCATTCTTCACATCCAGTTGTTGTAATGGCCAGTCTAAATTGGCAGCAAGAGATAAAAGAATTCTTACAGTGTTTAGCTTTGCAACTGGTGCAAAGGTTTCTGTGTAATCAATTCCATAGGTCTGTGTGTAACCCTTGGCGACTAGTCTTGCCTTATACCTCTCCAAACTTCCATCTGCCTTAAACTTGGGAGTGAAAATCCACCTGCAACCAACTGTAGGTTTGTTTTTAGGTAACTCTACAAGCTTCCATGTCTGATTCTTTTCAAGAGCCTCCATCTCCTCCAAAACAGCTTTCTTCCACTTAGGTTTAGATAGAGCATCCTGTATGGTTGATGGAATAGAAATAGAAGAAAGATTGGAAGTAAAGGCTGCAAAAGCTGGGTTCAATTTAGAATAAGAAACATAGTTTGAGATGGGGTATTTAACACATGCTCTTCTCTCTTTTCTGAGAGCAATTGGAAGGTCAAGGTTACTAGAAGCATTACCTTTTTCACTTCCTGACATTGAGGCAGAATCATGGACAGTTGTAGGTTCTTGGACATCCTCTATTCTTTGATTTCTAACCCTTCTCTCATAAACTTTTCCAAAGAACTGACTTGTCTGTTGATCCTTTTCAATTAGTTCAGTTGGATTTACTTCATTATTTTTTATTTCTTGATCATTTTCAGATGTACTGATATTTCTAAAGAAATTATCATCAAGATTAATATCAAGAAAATTAAGATTTTCATGAATATGTGGCACTATTGGAACATCTTCACTTAATTTCTCCCCCTGAAGATGAGAATCAAAAAAAGGTTGTTCTTCCACAAAAAAAGTATCCATAGTAACAACCATTGTTTTGATTGTAGGATCAAAACACTTATACCCTTTTTTAGTGGCAGAAACACCTAGAAAAACACATTTTTTTCCTCTAGGATCAAGCTTACTTGCAGATCTATCAGGATTTTTTATAAACACTGTGCAACCAAATATTTTTAAAGGAAGGGTATTTACCAATCTATTTGTAGGAAAGAAGTGTTGTAGTGAACTGATAGGACTTTTAAATCCTAAAGTTTTGGATGGCATGCGATTAATTAAATAAGTAGCATGTAACACTGCCTCTCCCCACAAATATTTTGGTATGTTTGTTGAAAACATGATTGCACGAGTGACTTCAAGCAAATGTCTATTTTTCCTTTCTGCAATTCCATTTTGAGCTGGTGTATTGACACAAGAGCTTTGATGGATAATGCCTTTTTCAGTAAAAAAATTGTTTAAAGTTTGAGAAAAATATTCACGGCCATTATCACTTCTTACCATTTTAATTTTGGTATTAAATTGAGTTTGGACCATAGCATAAAATGCCCTAAAAATTTCCTCAACTTCAGATTTTTCTTTGATTAAAAATACCCATGTGACACGAGTATGATCATCAATAATAGTTACAAACCATCTCTTTCCCTTTAAAGTTGGTATTCTAGATGGACCCCAAATGTCACTATGTACCAAGGTAAAAGGACTAGTAGGTTTATAACTGTGGGGTAAATAAGTGTTTCTGTGATGTTTGGCAAGTGCACATATATCACAATTAAACAAAGAAACATCTTTATTCAGAAATAATTGAGGAAACATCTTTTTTAAATAATAGAAACTAGGGTGTCCTAGTCTATAATGAAGTAAATACAAATCTTTATTATTTGAAAAGGAAACAGTTTGCAAACAAGCCTTTCTTGGACCTCTTTTATTTGATTGAGTTTCTCCATCAAAGATATAGAGTCCATCCTCCTCCTTAGCACTGCCAATCATCTTCCCCGATGCCAGGTCCTGAAAAATGCAATAAGAAGGATAAAAAATAACACAACATTGTAGGTCTTTAGTTATTTGACTAACTGAAGCAAGATTGCAGGATAGATTAGGGACATGAAGGACTTTGGATAGATTCAGAGATGAGGAAATACTAATATTTCCCATCCCTGCAATGGCTGATAGAGAACCATCTGCAACCTTAACCTTTTTATCCCCTGCACTAGGTTTATATGAAGAAAAAAGATTTGAAAGAGAGGTCATGTGATCAGTAGCCCCTGAGTCAATTATCCAGGAATTTTTAGATTTCCCAGAACAAAAAAATGATGAATAGGTACCATTTTGAGCATAAGAACAAGAGGAAGATTCTGGTTTGGATTCTTTCTGGGAATTTTGGGTTTTCTGGGAATTAAGGAAACTAAGAAGTTGCCCTATCTGCTCCTGAGTGAAAGAAAGCTGATTGAACTTGACTTGTGGTTCTTGTTGAGTCTCAGTCACAGTTGTTTGTAGGGCCTTTTCAGTTTTTTTCTTCCCTGCTCCTGGTGGTTTGCCATGAATTTTCCAACAAGTCTCCCTAGTGTGCCATAATTTCTTACAGTGATCACACCAGGGCTTTTTCTTGTCATCACTCCTCGCCACCATTGCTGAAGAGTCCCCAGATTCCTCATTATGTACTGGAATGTTGTACATAACCTTCTTCCTGCTATCCTCCAACCTGATTTCAGAAAATACCTCCCTGATAGAGGGTAGAGGTTTTTTTCCAAGTATTCTCCCCTTAACTTCATCTAGATCTCTATTAATTCCTGCTAGGAACATATAGACCCTATCATTTTCCTCCCTTTTTTTGTGTCTTGCTAGATCCTTGGCACTCTCCCACTTCTCATCATCATGGCATTGATCCAACTCTTGCCATAGGGATACCATCTCATTATAGTAAGAGATGACATCTCTATTTCCTTGTTTGGACTGCCACAACTTGGTTTTTAATTCAAAAATCTGAGAAGAGTTCTCAAGATCTGAGTAAGTTTCCTTAATGGAATTCCATACCTCCTTTGCAGTTTTCATGAACATGTGAGGTTTGGCAATTGATGCATCCATTGAACTTAGAAGCCATGATGTCACCAAGGAATTTTCTGACCTCCAGACACTGTAGCCATCATCACCAGTTTGTTTCTCCTTTATTTCACCAGTTATGTACCCTAGCTTGCCCCTTCCATCAATAGCCAGCTTGACAGACTGTGACCATTCGAGATAATTTGTGCCATTCAATCTATGGCCAGTAATGAGCATAGATGAATGAACTGAGGTCTGGTAGTTTGTCATTAAGCTATTTTGGGAGTTAGGGTTATGGGTTTGTGAGTGGGGAGAAGAGTCAGAGTGCTCGGTTTCCACCATTGTGGTGTTTAAACAGCCTGCTCTGATACCATGTAAGTTTGAGGAATAAATTTCCTTGATTGAATAAGCCAAATGGCCCGAGTATAAATACACTTTGTACAAATAACTATGAGCTAGTACAGATCCTAAAAATTAGGATCTAGATAACTATGAGCTTATCTACAACTAACTGCATCTATCCTAGTCTATCCGACTAGATATGTACATCAAATTAATTAGAAAAAAAAAAAAATAATGTAACATTTTTCTACAATTGGTTTTCCTTGTTTGCCCATTTATGAAATCTGTGCACATTAAAGAGTTTTTTCCAACCTTTTATATTATTAAATTTATCCTTGTCCCAAGAGCAATGTAAATGGGGCAGTGGCTCTTTACAGAGTAATTCTTAGATAAAGTATTAAAGGTTTTGATTAGGTGGAATTTGACTTTGCACCCCACTTTTTTGGGTGATATTGGATTTTGCACCCCGTTTCGAAAAAACTTTGACTTTGTACCCCATCACATAACTTTTTTTGAAGAAATATTTCTGAATGGGGTGCAAAGTTAGAGGATTTTAAGTGAAATGGGGTGTAAAGTCAAAGTTTTTGAAAATGGGGTGCAAAGTCCAATATCACTCAAAAAGTGGGGTGCTAAGTCAAATTCCCCCTTTTGATTAATATATCATTCCAACACATTTTCTTTAAGTCTGAGCCTCTGCGGTTTGGTCCCTGGATTGATAAACCGGATATGTAATCATTCCCACTAACCAAGAATTGGACAGCATAGGTTTTTGATTTTAAACAAGCACATTTGTACATTTTCTGTAATTTAGTGCCACAATATCTATACCATTTTCTATGTAATGTAACACGACAGCAACTTGGCTGATCATAAATGACTTTCTGCCATTTTTCTGATAAAACAGAGATGTATTCCTGTTTTCCTGGATGAGGACACTGTCAACCAGTATTATAATGGTTATTGTAACAACATATTATGGCCTCTTTTCCATTATCTTGGACTTCCTCATGAGGACCGCCTAGCAACCACCCGAAGCTTCCAGTCTCAGTTTGCTGCATATAAGAAGGCTAACCAGATGTTTGCTGATGTTGTAAATGAGCATTATAAGGAGGGAGATATTGTGTGGTGCCATGACTACCACTTAATGTTTCTTCCCAAATGTTTGAAAGAGCATAACATAGACATGAAGGTTGGTTGGTTTCTTCACACGCCATTCTCTTCCTCTGAAATTTACAGGACGCTGCCTTCTAGATCAGAGCTTCTGAGAGCTGTTCTTTTCGCTGATTTGGTTGGGTGAGTACTTCATTTTTTAATCTCATCATCGTCATCATCATCATTACCCCAGTGCCGCAAAGGCTCCCACCTACAGTGGGGTAAGGACTTTATTTTTTAATCTACTTCACTAAAATCCTGTGAGGGCCTTTTAAATGGTTGATTATTCACATTGGTTGCCTACTAGATATGAGTCCTCTTTGAGATAGAAATATCAAAGTTTGGTCTGGTTCTGGGTTGTGAAACATTTGCTCACTTGATTGTTGAGGCATAGCTCATTTGGGGTTGGTTTGCGTCCATTTGTCCACCCTTTCAGTTGTCAGTGTGTTGAGTATGCCCATTGGATCTCTACTTCGTGTGGGGTAAAACTAACATATTGAGGATCTTTATACGGTTAGATCCAATTTAGTATAAATCTTGGGTATAATAGCTTTTCTTTAGTATGTCAGGCAACATAGTTTTTCTAAGGCACGTCTCAATATAAATCAAATGTAATTTATAAATCAAATGTAATTCTCAAGTAAAATATGGTGGTTTAGGAGATACTTTTAGGAAGATAGTTAATAAATAAAAACAAGGATTAAGAGAAGAGTATGAGTGTATGGATAGTCTGTCTCATACATTCTCACGTGAAAGAATTTAGTCTTGGTATTTGAGTACCTTATTTTATAGGCAAATCCACATAGAAAGTACAGACTTTTGAAAGTAGTCTTGTCATGCTTATATAGAATTGTGATACTAGTAAATCAAATAATTTATGGCTCATGCGATATCTTTTCTGCTTTCTATTCTTCTTGTTGAAAACGATAATATGAATACTAGGAATAATGATTTCAGATTTTTGTAGGCAGTTTTCAAAACAATGTGGTTAGTATAATTATACTTTTAGTTCATTATACTACCTGTATCATATACTCCCTACATCCCTAAATTATCTTCTAAATAGGGTTTTGCACGTGGATTAAGCAAACGGGAATTGTGTGGTGGAGACTTGTGCAAAGGAGAGATAAATGTGTAAGAATGTGTAAGAAATGTTGTGAACTACAAATTCTTTGCCAAAAAAAAGAAAGAAGAGGTTATTTTGGGATGGATGAAAAAGGAAAGTTGGAAGATAATTCAGGGACACAGGGAGTAACTTTAAACACTATAAAGAGAAAATTGGTAGCAATACCCAGTGGGCCCTTAACTTCGTTTTTTCTTCGTAAGATGATAGATATACTTCATACTTGTTCAGTTGATGTAAGTGTGCAACTAATGTCTCAAAGTTTTCAACATTTGTTTTCCAGCTTTCACACTTACGATTATGCAAGACATTTCGTCAGTGCTTGCACTCGCATTCTTGGACTGGAAGGAACACCTGAAGGGGTTGAGGATCAAGGAAAGCTTACTCGTGTGGCTGCGGTATCACTACTACCAGATTTGCTGTGTATTATTGTCATTTTCCAAACCATTTCCATCTTTTTGCTGTGGTACTTTTTAATGAGACTTGTGTTAACATTTACTGGGTTACTTGGAAAAAGTTTCCTATTGGAATAGATGCCAGTCGTTTCATTCGTGCACTTGAGCTTGCTCCAGTGCAGTATCACATGAAGGAGTTGCTAGAAAGATTTGCTGGACAGAAGGTTCTCTCTCACTCTCAGCAGTTCAATTTATTACTCATTTTTGTTCTTTGGATATTGGCATATGGTATATATTAGTTTCTCTGTTATTCAAAGTTGGAGATTTTGATTTAAAAAATCAGCAACAGAAATATTACATGGTTCTTTTATGTAAACACTAAACAATTATGTATTTTGAGGAGCAAGAAGTTAAGAAATGGTGTGCACTTGAGGTCACACTATATTTGAAGTTGGAAACTATCCTTATAATCTAAGGAATTTCCTTGCTCATTGCTAGTGGCAATGTGGCATGCTTTTTGTTGTAAGAATTAAAAATAGAATAATATTTAAAAGTGAAAGATTTTGTGTTTCTATTGAAGGGTTTAAGCCCCAGAAATATACCTTACAAAGATAGAATATCCCGTATAAAATTCTACAGCATAATATTATTCTACAACGTATTCCTAAAATATTCTGAAGGATATTTGTGAACTATTCTAATGTATTTCACACTCCCCTCAAGTAGGAGCATATATATATATATATATATATATATATATATATATATATATATAACTTACTAACTCAATAATATGCAACACATTGAACTTCAATATGCAGTACAAATAATGTAAAGATGCACACTGTGAATTTCAATATGCAATAAAAACAATATGCAAAACTTTGAACTTTAATATGCAGTACAAATAATATGCAACACTTTGAACTTCAATATGCAGTACAAATAATGTAAAGATGCACCGTTTTTGATAGTTTGTAGGTTAGCATGGGAGGAATGGTTAGTATGTGATCTCACCCCTATATATGTGATCAAGCCCAACTTGTTACATAAATAAGCAACTGGAATCCGATTTAGTACTTCAATAAATAAATCTTCAAGTTGTTCTCCGGCCTTCACATATCCGGAAGAAATTAATCGTTGCGGTATCTTCTCTCGAATAAAATGACATTGACCTCAATATGTTCTATTTTCTCGTGAAACACTGGATTAATGACAATGCGTATAGTGGCTTGGTTGTCAGACCATAGTTTAGCACTTTAGCCGGCATTGGTGTCTTCAATCCGATTTCACTCAATACATGATTTATCCCCATTATCGCACATGCAGACTGTGCCATAGCTCAATATTCCGATTCAACATTGGAACGGAAAATCTCATTACTTTTCTGGGATACTAAGTTACAATCAATAAAGTCACAATAACCCAACATAGATGTCTTAACATATTTAGATCTGGCCCAATCAGCATTTGCAAAGCATTCTATTTTATGTGATCATGTTTGGTAAATAACACATTCCGGTGCACCTTTGAAATAATATAATATTGGGAAAAGTACAGAAAACGTACATGTGGTTTGGGCCATTTTCAGATAGGGGCATGTGTTTCATTTTCTAACAAAGTGGGGCATGTGTTTCAATTCCGTTATCATAACTGGGGCATGACTTCTAACGTCGTTAGAAAAATTAACTCCGATTTTAAAAAGTCTCCGAAAAATTAAAAGAAAAATACTGGGAGGTGCGCCTTGTCAAGGAGATCAACAAACTATCTTTCTCTTTGGATTTTTTGGCTCTATTGGGATTATTTTTTTTAAAAGCAAATTCGCTAATATCAATTTTCTGATGGACTTTCTGAAGATATGGTGGACTTTCTGGAGATATGGTGGCTGGAAACAAAAAAATAAAGATAGTTTGTTGATCTCCTTGACGAGGCGCACCTCCCAGTATTTTTTGTTTTAATTTTTCGGAGACTTTTTAAAATCGGGGTTAATTTTTCTAACGGCGTTAGATGTCATGCCCCCTGCTATGATAACGGAATTGAAACACATGCCCCACTTTGTTAGAAAATGAAACACATGCCCCTATCTGAAAATGGCCCAAACCATAGGTACGTTTTCTGTACTTTTCCCTATAATATATGCTCTACGAAAGTACGAAATTCCAATGACCAATAGTCAGAGATGCCATATATTAACTCACTACACTAATAGAGTAAGCAAAATCTGGGTGGGTAATTGTGAGATAATTTAGCTTTCCAACCAATCTTTAGAATCGGTGGGACAAAAACGTGCGGTGTAGTTTCAGCAAGTGTGGACTTGGGTATAGTAACTTCGTAAATGAGGGTATTATTCTCCATCATGATTTGCCTTGAATGATGAAAAAGATATATTCATGAAATGAGGCATTGATAGAAACAAGATATCAACCTGTACTTGGACAAAAACATCTATACCCCTTTTGAACTCGAGAATAACAACATCCAAGCCTTAGTCCCAAACGAAAAGAAACGTCCTAGGGGATTCGAACGCGGGTCTATCACCAGAAATGCCAGCACACATACCAGCAAACTACACTACTTTTGAACTCGAGAATAATTTAAGAAAATGCACTTCTAATGATTTGGGATCAAACTTTGTAAGATGAGGATTAACATCTCTAACAAAATAAGTGCAACTAAATATTTTAGGTGGGATAGGAAAGCAACTCTTTATTTGGAAATGGGTTTTGATAAGTAGCTTTACCATCCAAAACAGAAGACGCCATGCGATTAATTAAAAACATGTGATATACACAACATGAATTCAAAATTGTTTAGGCACATCCGCACATTCATCTAAGAGGCCTTGCAGTGTCTAATGGATGGCGATTCTTTCTTTTAGAAACTCTATCAATTTGGAGGTGCGGAGTTCTGAGCCCTGGTCGCCGGCGGTGGGAACACCAGATTGGAACGGAGGTGAGAAAGGTTGGTGTTGCTAGGTTGTGAACTGAGGTTCTATTGATGGTGTCAAGGTTCTGAACGGAGTTTCTGAAAAAAATAGCGTGAAATTAGGTTGAAATGGAACAAAATGGCTATGATACCATGTTGTAAGAATTAAAGATAGAATAATCCCGAGGAGTGAAAGGTTTTCTGTGTTTCTATTGAATTGTTTAAGCCTATAAATATAAAATATAAAATATACATTACAAAGATAGAGTATTCCTACAAGATTCTATAGCATAATAATATTCTAGAGCATATCTCTAAACTATTCTAATGTATTTCGCACTTTTGATAACACTATAAGAGTGCCTAGATACTTTTAATGAAGGTGCAAACAGTGTTCTTTGATGCCTGCTACATTATAATATTATGGACAGATACAAAAAAATCAAGTAGAAGAATGAAGAGTGATAGCTAATTGATTTACATTGGTTTCATTCTGATTTGATTTTAACTCATTCATTAGTTGATCTATTTCAGGAAGTGATTTGTTAGGATTTCCCTTCCCTTTTTTACGCATTCATATGCATGTATATTCTATTACAAAGGGAGCTTTGCTATGCTAATAAATATCCAAGGAAATATTATGAAAAAACTCCTTAAATTTTCGCAGCCGTTTTCTTTTATCATTTTAATTCACTCTCAAAGAATCCTGGGACATAACATTCTTCTCTTTGATTTAAAGGATAGAAATTCCTTAGATCTTGTATGCGCCCTTAGAAATCATGAGATGGTAAGGCAACCAAATACATAGTGTAGGCCGAGACCACTTATGTTGTACCGCGAGGTGAAGAAAGCAAGCCCCTTGAAAATACTGGGTTATGGATTTCCCTTCACCTAAAAATGCGATTTCATTTGGAATTTTTAACACCGGGCCTGGTCTCAATCTTTCTAGTTTGGTCTGTTCTGGTTTGGATCTTTTTGGTTTGTTTTGGCCAATCTTTTTGATCCGACTGCTATGAATTATTCATGATCTTTCCAATCAATATAAACCTTAGTTTGGTCTGAACTTTTTTGGTTCCCTCTCTTATGGTCTGGATATTCTGGATTGGTATGGTGTGATTTAAATCTTTCTAATTTAGTTTTGTCTACACCAAACTAGAAGGTGAGGAAGAAAAATAAGTTGAAGAGAACAAAACCTAAGCCCTTAAGTCATTGACTTTCTCTGCTGCTTTAAAGCTGTTGAAATGTTCAATGACATAAACTGAAAAAGAATATGGTTCCGATCAAATATTGACAATGCTGATGATGGTACCATACAAGCATCAAGGAAATTTGTGACATAACCTAATTTAGAGAAACAACATGCTAGAATTTGCGAATCTTACAGAATTTGGAAATCGGAACTTGTAGAATTATTGGAGCAAGTCAATACTGATTTATGGGGAATAAATGATGCCACATTGAACATTTAATACATGTTTAAGGGATGTTTTTCTTTGAAGGGTACAAAGAGTAGTGTTTACCAAGTGTTCTTCATAAGCAATATTAGCCACTTATTTTTCAAAAGTTTTCCTCATTGAGCTGGATACATGGATCTTTGACTTGAAACTTGCCATATATATTTGAGTTCCACAAAACACACTGGTCTCTAACTGTAAAGTCACATTTAGGTTATTATATTTGAAAAAACTGATGTTTCTTGGAAGTGATAGTTGATATGCTTCTGACAGGTTATGTTAGGGGTAGATCGTCTTGATATGATTAAGGGTATTCCTGAAAAAGTCTTAGCATTTGAAAAGTTTCTTGAAGAGAATCCAGACTGGCGGGATAAGGTAGTTCTGCTGCAAGTTGCAGTGCCAACAAGGACTGATGTTCCCGAGTGTACGTTCTTTTCATTTATTGTCTGTGATTTGTTTTAAAGTGTTTTGCATATGTTACAGTTTTAATTGATTTTGGAAAAATACATGAAATTCCAATTGATTTTAGAAAAAATAGTTGACACCAAATTTCAAGCAATGGACCCCAAAGTAGTTGGGATTAAGGTGTTGGTTATATTTATCCTTGCCCCAAAACTACATGGTAAATTAGCTGACAGGTCCCGTTATCTTCACTTGAAAAAAGTGATTTACTTTTTATGGCCTGATATGGTCGTGTCTGACCATCTGTATGTTTTTGATCTTGTCTAGTTTTCTTGTCTGCAATATAACATGTAATCTGATTGTTCTGAATGCTTTCCGTCTCTTTGAAATAAAAAAAAGAATAAGGTGAGAAAATACTTGTAATTTATAAATGTGTTCAGTTTTCTTGTATTCCAATGGTCATCTATAAATTCAAATATTTTCCATTCTTATTAAATAAACCTACAGAAGTTATAATTGAGTAGCCACTTGCAATATTCCATTCTTATTAAATAAACCTACAGAAGTTATAATTGAGTAGCCACTTGCAATTTTTACGCTGGATTGTGTCTAAAATCTCATGCAATTCACTCCAGTCTTCTCATTTCACTTTTGCAGAAAATACTTGGAAGTGATATATGTCTATAGATGGAATCATTTTTTGCATGGTGTCCTAATTCTCTAAAACTATGTAATACTCCCTCCGTCCCTTATAACTTTGCCAACTTTCCATTTTTGGATGTCCCATTAACTTTGCCACTTTCCCATTTAAGTAAAGAATTTGTGGTTCTAGTTAATTCTCTCACCTCTGTACAAACCTCAACCACACAGTTTTTACTTTATTAATTCCCGTGCCGGTCAAACTTGGCAAAGTTATTAGGGACGGAGGGAGTAATAAACAAGCCCCTGGAATGAACAATGTGATGAAGACTTAATTTTGTATCAATTAAAGCCTTTGTTATAAATTCAATAATAAATACTACGTATTAACACATGTTCCCAAATTCGTAATATGATATGATGATGAGTTTAAAATAATGGGTGTGCATCCCAACTAATAGCTTATGTTTTTCGTCGAGGTTGAATATGTTTTTAGAAATTGAATTATTATATACAGGTGACCTATCATCGAAATGTTCATAGCAGTTTAGCGCATCAAAATATTGTGTTCACATGTAAGAGGGTGTATTGAGGATAAATGTACCAAATTACTAATATAGTTTTGTATTTTCACTAGTCGCTCAATATACGGTGTATTGAGGACATACTTGTCACGGCGTCGCCTAGTCGCCGACTAGGCGTCCTGGCGATGGGGAACAGTAGACAGGGGAGATCGACTCGGCTGAAGAAGATAAGTCGCTTTTGGTGTCGTCCAGGAGTAGACATGTCATCCAGGCGCAGTCCTGGCATCGCCCCAGGGGAGATTAAAATCTCAATAAATTCGTTTTTAGAAGCCCAACCCAAAATAAGATTTAGACAGTAGTAATTTAGAAACTAATTTAGAGTGTTAGAAAGTAATTATATATTTAAGGAACCGAAGCCTTCTGAAAGTCTGAAATTCAAAGGATAATCATCAATTCTCAAACTCGAAGGCCAATCGGCGACTCCTAAACAAGAAGCTTCGATAGTCGCTACTTCTCTGCTGTGAGCCTCTGCAGTTGCTGCGGGCCTGCTTCGCAAGGTTGAAGACGACTTGCGCTCCTTCTCCAGCTTTTTAGTTTTATCGGTTATTCACTTATCACATTATGTCTTTATCAGACTTCTTATTCCATTAGGGGGGAAAAATTTAAATATCCTAAACTTTAATGGGGCCAAAGATTCACTATTTTTTGGCTTGTGGATATGATGAGATAAAGCAAAATGACTCACTAAACTGTCCGCGCTTCTTTGTTATGAAGCAGCAATCAGCTCATGCAATTTCCGATGCGATTTTCACCATGGGTCATCCGGAAACAGTCTCTTCTTATCACTGCTTTAGTACAGGGATAAGACTGCGTACATCCGACCCCCCTTACCCCACCGTAGGTGGGAGCCTTTGCGGCACTGGGGTAATGATGAATGATGATGATCCCAAACTCTAATGGGGTGTGAGTTAAGTACCCTAAACTTGCATATGTAATATATATACCCCGAGCTTTACTTAAAAAGTTATTTTCGCACCAGTATTGTTTGTTTTTCTACAAATATAAATTTATTTTAACATGATTTAAAATACTCTAAGCTTTGTTAGAATGCGATTAGCATTCTAAAATTTCATTTGTGAAATAAATGATATTACATCTGGTACAATTTAATATTAATTGCATCCTTATAAATGTTTTGTGTATTTTAAATTATATATTTAACACCATAAAAAATATATGATCATGGTGCTAAGTGCTAACACAACTTTTTATATAAAGTTTGTCGTATATATATTATGCATGCAAGTTTTGGATACTTATCTCACACTCCTTCAAAGTTTGGGATATTGAAATTATTTCTCCCATTCCATTATATAAATATATTTTATATGCAGTTAAGCACTAAGCAATGTACCCACTACAGATTTACATAGTTTAATTTTAATATTATACATGTATAATTTGTATACACTATACAGTCTATATAGATACACACTACAATATATGTGTGTATACATATAATATTATACAATGTGCGGCTAGTCGCCTAATTGTCGCCTAGGCGGGCGTCTTGTCGCCTAGGTGATATGGCATTCAGCTGGCGCCGTGACTCGCCTTACCGCTGTGACAAGTATGATTGAGGATAAATATAGATTGGAACAAATACCTCAGAACCATATGCTTACTATTTGTACAATGTTGTCATTTTATTAAGTGATCGATAGCATTTCTATATTGGAGGATCTAATAATATTTCATAGGTTATTAATGTCCTTGATACTTTTTTCTAAAAACTTTCTTCTCCTTACCATACTATCTGTTTCCCTTTCTTTGTCTGGCAGATCAAAAACTGACATGCCAGGTTCATGAAATTGTTGGACGCATTAATGGAAGATTTGGAAAACTTACAAATGTTCCAATTCACCATTTGGTTTGTAAATTTCTATTACAAAAAATTGTTTACATTATGCATTGTGGTAACTAAAGATATTCCTACAGCTAACTAAAGGTACTACTTAGGGAAATATTGATTTGTTAGTTCTTTAGCAGAACTATTTTCATTCATTAGTCTTGAAACTTAAAATTGCGAAACAGTAAACTTTCAAAACCTGTTATGAAGATCACTAGGTGGCTATAATTTTTGTTTGTGCCCATTTAGCTACCACGTGGGCATTTAGCTATAGGAAATTGGATAGCAACTTATAAAATGGATGTATTGCAGGTTTTAATTGAGCAGGAATTTACAAATGGAGTTTTTTTGTTCAAGTGGTGGATTGAACAAAATAGAGGGAGGCGCTATTTGCCTATTTGACCATTAACCTTTTATCAATAACAGAATTAGCCTCTTTATTTCCCATGATATTTCGACTCATTGCCTTCTCATATTTCCCATGCATGTCAATAACCTATGATGATGACATTTTAGAATTTCCATCTAGTTTATTCCTTATGAAGGTTGCAGCATGAAGGGAATCTGGCATAAAACATTGCTACTTTGCTTTTATTTGCATGGATTTTGTATGCATTAATTTATACAATTAATTGACACTATGCTTAATGTCTCGTATTCCAACTAGCTGGGATTAAGGTGCTGGGATAAGTGCTTGAGGATTAATTTATCTTCAAAAAATTATTTTCTGGTTGCTGCAAGTGTTTTGTTTAGGAATAGTGAGTATGAAAAGATTGTTATTCTTATTACTTTTAATATTTTATAGGACTACACTCTGGACTTTCACTCGCTGTGTGCCTTGTATGCAGTAAGTGGTACTGATTCTATCTCCTATTCATTTTAGTTGGTATTTGGTATGGAAAAGGAAGTACTTTATGAACTACCCAGAAAAGGTAGTTCCTCCTTATCCTTATTCGTTTATGAACTTTGGCAGATGTGGCATTGGTAACATCTTTGAGAGATGGGATGAATCTTGTAAGTTATGAGTTTGTGGCCTGCCAATCCTCAAAGAAAGGGGTTCTCATTCTAAGTGAGGTAGATATCATTTTCCCCTCTATTAAGCTTTTCTTTTTAGTTCCACGCCGTTCAGACTACATTTGACCTTTGGATGTCTTTTTTTTTTCCGGCAGCCTTTTGGATGTCTTTATTCTACCAAGTATTTTTTTTACAAAACTCAAAAAAACTGCGAGTTTTTCCACCACTTCCATTTTTTTTCCATCATTTGCAATGGAGCCAAAGATTCATTTTTTGGCTTGAGAATATGATGGAATAAAGCAAAATGGCTCACTAAACTATCTGCGCTTCTTTATTATGAAGAGCAGTCAGTCCGCATTTTTGGACGCGATTTTCACTATGGGTCATCCGGAAACAGTCTCTCTGTGCTTTAGTAGTCTCTTTGTGCTTTAGTACAGGGGTAAGACTGCGTACATCCGACCCCCCTTTACCCCACCGTAGGTGGTAGCCTTTGCGGCACTGGGGTAAATGAAAATGATGATGTGGGGTGGTGGGGGCTTCGTGTAAATAGCCTGTCAGACTCCTACAAGCAGAGGTAAGGTTTTCAACTTTTCATACTTCTTACCCTCCTCAGACCCTACTTCCAAGAGAGGCTTACTTGGTTCATTTAGTTTGATTCGGCATTTAAGTTCTATAAAACTTCTTTGTGCTCACTTTTCCCCCATTCTTCTCTCTGAAGATTCTGAAGTTATTTAATTCATAGATTGACCCAATAGAAGAATGTTTTTTAGTAGATTATGACTGAAACTCATAGAACGTTGTTCCAACTCAATCCCACATTATTACGAGGCCTTTTGGGAAGTGGACCATATCACACTAATGTGGAGTTAATATGACACTTTCATTCCTAACAAACGTTACACAAGTAGCTGTTTCTATTGGTTATGCTTTAAAATTAATTGGCATGTTTGTCTTATGAAATTTATTATATATCACAGTTTGCAGGTGCAGCACAGTCACTTGGTGCTGGGGCAATTCTGGTTAATCCATGGAACATTACAGAAGTAGCTGCTTCCATTGCTTATGCTCTAACAATGCCTGCCCATGAACGAGAAAAACGTCATCACCTTAATTTTATGCACGTCACAACTCATACATCCCAAGAGTGGGCTGCAACGTTTGTTAGGTATGAAAAAAAGGTCACAACTACAATGTCGGGTTATAATGTTCCCTTGTTACTTAGGTTTGCAATAGTAGTGGGTATATTTTTTGCAAGTTGGCTTTTCTTGGACCCTGATGGTACTGTTTTGAATGCAGTGAACTGGACGATACCATTGTTGAAGCTAAGCTGAGGACCAGCCAAATTCCTCCTGTGCTTCCTACAAATGCTGCTATAGAACGTTATGTGCAGGCAAATAAGCGACTGCTAATACTGGTAAGTGATTTCATCTTTTTGGAACAAGTTGGTTTATCCCTACATCATGGTCTGTTTCCTTCCCTTGCTACTAGATGCAGAAATGCAGGTATTTTTTTCATGGAACCCAAGAGTTGAAATATATTATAATAATAATATAATAATAATGATCACAACTACTACTCTGCATTGTTTGTATTGTTATTGTTATTTTTATTATTATTGTCAAAGCACATTTCTGTTGAAGAACACTTCCACAAACTTTAGCGTTTAAATTTAGTAGTCAAATAGTTACGGTGTAGTTTTTCGGCCAAAGGTCGGGTAGCGATTAGTCATCAGACATTATTTAGGAATAATGATGATCACCCATCCTTGCAGTCTTGCATTAGTAAAGTCTTAAAAACATATTCTACAGTTTCTAATAGTATTAGTTTTATAAGTCTTTACATACATAAAGAAAAAGAAAAGTAGTATAATTCATGAATCATTTAAAGAAGATCATGTTATCTAACCAATCCTAACTTCTTATGTCCTAAATTAATCATTGTTTTTTCCTGATCAACATCATCTTTGCTGTCCTTCATATCCACACACACATCTCGAATCATTATGTATTACTACCCATGTAAGCAAGGTAGTCAAACTCGAGATCCTACGTAGGATCGAAAATTGGAATAAGGATCGTAAATCGTAGGATCGTGACTCGGATCGTAAGATCCTACAAAATTTATACTTACATATACATATACATATATATGTGTACATATATATGTACATATGTATACATATAATTAGAAAATAAATATGATTGATAAAGTAATAATATAATTGACCTAAGTGTGTGTGTGTGTTATATATATACACGAGTATATATGTATATATGTATACATATATTTGATAAAATAATACATATAATTGATAAATATAGTCAGTAAGTTGTATTATAAGTTTATAACACCTAAGTGACCCAACAGATACAATAATAATAATTTAAAGCAATCTGTTCCTAATAAAATAATCTAACTTTATTTTACTCAATAAGTACTAAGTTGTATTATACGAAGTATTATAGATTTATAACACCTAACACATATAATAATAATAACAATTTAAAGTAATTTGTTCTTAATAAAATTATAATGATGCATATTACGAAGTACGGAGTATTATATAGGAAGAAAGATAAAACACTAATACATAAATTAAAGTTTTATTTTTTGAAAATACATAAATTAAAGTATTAAATACATAAATTAATTAATATATACCCAGGTGTACTACGTAATATACTAACTCGCCTGCGCTTCACAAACGAATGAAGTCAATGAACGTTCGAGTCTTCCACAGAATGAACACTCGCACTTGTCAGGGACAAATCAGAACCGGGAGATCGATGTCGACCTTTTAGCCTTTGAGTCATGGAGGCCATTGACTGTCCCAATCGGATCTGAGAGTGGAGGTCGCCGGGAAGAAAATGATTGCAGAGAAGAATTTGAAGCGACAGGCATCTTCTTTCAAATTTGGAGCGTGGTCTGATTTTTTTTTAAATTTCTCTTCGACCATTGCAAACGAATCAACGACCTTGTACGAGCCTACGCGTTTACGAGCTTACTCGGCGATTCAGCCGTTCCTGAGTATTTTACGATTTTCACTAGGAGCGGGATCGCAGGTGTCAATCAGAGAATCAGTAGAAAAATATCTTTGTATCTTATTGAATCTTTGTAATTATAGGAAGATTTTATTTGGCATTGAGTGCAGGGATATCTTGCATTAATTGTAAGAATCCCCTGATTTGTTTCCTTGTACATATATTCACATGTTGCCTATATAAGTGTAAATAAACCGCTGAGCAGGGCAGCTCAAGCTTTCCAGCATTCCCAGTTCTTAGTTCCTGATTTTACTTAGTTCCTGAGTTTATCATTTCTGGTAAAATTAGTGACATGGTATCAGAGCCATAAGCATTTTTTTTTCCAGCAAACCCTGAAATTCAGTTGGGTTTGTTCTTGGAGTTCTTGCTCGACGTCTCAGATTTTTTTTTTAAACATAAACCCTAGGGGTTCCTCTCAGATTCTGTCATCTCAGCACTTAGTTCCAGCCATCTTCTATCTCAGATCAACACATTTCCTTCTCAGATTTATTCTGTTCTCTTGTTATCATGGATAAATTAGAAAACTTGTGTGTTCGATTTGATGGCAAGAACTATGTTACTTGGGCGTTTCAATTTGAAACCTTTCTGAAAGGAAAGGATTTGTGGGCTCACGTGGATGACTCTTCCACACAGAATTCTGCCACTCAGGATGAAACTTGGGAGGTGAAAGATGCTCAAATTCGCAGTTGGATATTAGGGTCACTCGATCCTCATATTATTCTTAACCTACGCCCCCATCGCACAGCTAAAGCCATGTGGGCTTATCTACGACAAGTTTATCATCAGGATAATGCAGCCCATCAATTTTAGTTGGAGTTGGATATTTCTAACTTTCAACAAGGTTCCTTAACTGTTCAGCAATACTATTCCAGTCTTTTAGAGCTTTGGACTGAATATATCGACTTATGTCTCGCTGACGTCCCTAAAACTGCTGTTGAGCCTCTTCGGGATATGTTACAAGCACGGCAGCGCAGGCAGTTCTTGATGAAACTGCGCTCCGAGTTTGAGAACACTTGCTCCTCTTTAATGAATAGGAATCCAGTTCCATCTCCTGAAGTTTGCCTTCGGGAACTACTTCGTGAAGAGCAGCGTCTACTTACCCAGGTTACCTTGGAACAAGGTCACACTCCTGTTGCTTATGTCACTCAAGCTAAGCCTCACCCTAGAGATATGAGTGCCACACAGTGTTATTCTTGCAAGAATTACGGTCATATTGCGCAGCATTGCCTTAATAAGGTATGCAGTTATTGCAAGAAGCTGGGACATATCATCAAAGATTGCTCTATTCGTCCACCCCGCAGGAAAAATACCGAATATCAGGCTACCACAGAAGCTGTGGTCACTTCTCCAAACGTGTCAAATACTCCCGTCTCTACTTCTGCCACTTTTATTACACCTGAAATGGTACAACAGATCATAATTTCTGCTTTCTCAGCATTGGGAATTCAAGGTAACTCTTTACCCTATTCTAATTGGTTTCTAGATTCTGGAGCCTCCAATCATGTGACACATTCAGTACATGGACTCAATAATATTCGCAAATATGATGGTTCTTTATCTATTGAAACTTCCAATGGTAATAAGTTGCCTATTACCGCAATTGGTGATATTTCTCATCGGGTTAAAGATGTATTTGTTTGTCCCAACTTATCTACAAGTCTTATCTCTGTTAGACAACTTCTTGATGATAGATGTGGTGTGAAATTCTCTTGTGATGGTTGTCTTGTGCAGGATCAAGTGTCAGGGAAGTTGATAGCGAAGGGGCCTAGGATTGGACGTCTTTTTCCTTTATACTTTCCTAGATATAACTCAGTTTCTGCTTTTGCATGTAATAAAAATTCAGGATCGGTGTGGCATAGGAGACTTGGCCACCCGAATCCTCGAGTTCTTTCTCATTTGTTACGTCTTGGTCTTTAGGGTAATAAAGAGAATATGTTTTCTCATTTTGATTGTGAATCATGTAAACTAGGCAAGCAAAGTTCTTACTTTTCCATCTAATGGTAGACTGGTAGTCGTGCTTCCCATTGTTTTGAGCTCATTCATAGTGATGTTTGGGGCATTTCTCCTGTTGTGTCTCATTCTCATCACAAATACTTTGTTACCTTTATTGACGACGATTATAGTCGTTACACTTAGATATATTTTCTTCAATCGAAGGCTGATGTTTTCAGAACATTTCAAAACTTTCTTGCCTTGGTAGAAACTCAATTTTCCACAAGTATCAAAGTTCTTCGTATTGATTCTGGTGGGGAGTATATGTCTCATGAATTTCAAACATTTCTTGAATCTAAGGGGATCCTATCTCAACGATCATGTCCTTATACTCCTCAACAAAATGGTGTTGCGGAACGAAAAAATCGTCATCTTCTTGATATCGTTCGGACCTTACTTATAGAATCCAAAGTTCCTACTCGATTTTGGGTTGAAGCTTTGTCAAGCCAAGTATGCTCGGGATATCATTGAATCTGCAGGTCTTAGTGGCACTTCTCCAGTTGATACTCCTATGGAGCTAAATGTTAAACTTCGAAAAGATGAAGGAGATCTTCTTCTGGACCCAATAGTATATCGTAGGCTTGTGGGCAGCTTAGTATATCTTACGATTACTCGTCCAGCTCTCTCGTTTGCTGTTCAACAGGTTAGTCAATTTCTTCAGAATCCCCGTCATCTCCATATGGCTACAGTTCGACGTATTATTCGTTATGTTCTAGGAACCGTTACCAAGGGACTTTATTTTCCAAATGGTGTTTCTCTTGAACTATCTGGCTATAGTGATGCTGATTGGCCTGGCTGTGTAGACACTCGTCGCTCCACCACGGGATGGTGTATGTTTGTAGGAACTGCTCTCGTTTCCTGGAAAAGCAAGAAGCAGGATCGAGTTTCTAAATCATCTACGGAGTCAGAATATCGTGCTATGTCTCTTGCTTGTTCAGAGATCATATGGCTACGAGGTTTACTAGCAGAGCTTGGGTTTTCACCCACCGGGCCTACTCCATTGCATGTTGATAACACTAGTGCTATTCACATTCCTGCCAATCCAGTTTATCACGAGCGCACAAAACACATTGAAGTAGACTGTCATTTTATTCGGGAAGCATTTGAATATCAAGTGATTTCCTTGCCCCATGTATCCACAAATCTTCAAGTGGCTGATATCTTCACGAAGGCTCTTCCTCGTCAGCGGCATCAATTCCTTGGTGGCAAATTGATGCTTGTTGATCAACCAACATCAATTTGAGGAGGGATGTCAATAAGAGAATCAGTAGAAAAATATCTTTGTATCTTATTGAATCTTTGTAATTATAGGAAGATTTTATTTGGCATTGAGTGCAGGGATATCTTGCATTAATTGTAAGAATCCCCTGATTTGTTTCCTTGTACATATATTCACATGTTGCCTATATAAGTGTAAATAAACTGCTGAGCAGGGCAGCTCAAGCTTTCCAGCATTCCCACTTCTTAGTTCCTGATTTTACTTAGTTCCTGAGTTTATCATTTCTGGTAAAATTAGTGATAGCAGGTTGATTTGTGAACCGTAAACTCGTACGAGCCTACGAGTTGACTCGCGATTTTGACTACCATGCATGTAAGAAATGTTATATTAAATTCTTTCGAAGTTTTTTTTGAATCTCATCACAAGCAATAACAGATGAATCCTGCTTTTTGTCATCTCCAAAGTCATACAATCATCTAACCCAAGAAGTACTATATTATTCTTGACTTCTCTATTCCACGTCTGTCTAGTTTGTCCCCTTCCTCTCCTCCCTGCCTTCTCTCCAGTCTCCACACTTCTCAATCCTTATCTTTTGACAGAGTACATCACTCGGTCTTCTACACTACACATATGACCAAATCACAACAATTGAGACTTTCACATCTTATTTTCAATAGGTGCTACTCCCAAATTTTAGCTAATTGTCTCATACTTCAAGCATTCTTTCCTAGTATGCCCAATGTGTGAAATTGCGTATTACATATATTGTAAGGTGTTTGAGACTGTATAACCAAGCCCTATCCGTCGATCATCTGTGAAATTGCATATTGCATATAATTGGGTCCGTTTCTTAAGAGCAGCGAGTTTCCGTACAGTTTTGGGCCGTACAGGTGTGGGCCCCTGTTAGAGAGCAGGAGGTAGTTGGGCCGACAGCCCAGGAGGAGGCAACTGGTCCGCTACTTCAGGGGGACGGGCCTCGCCCATTATTGGTTTACCGTCGTCGCCAGCGGGCCTAGATGGGCTGGATTAACTGCTGGGTTTTATTAGTTTATTTTATTCAATTGTTATTTCTATTAAACTGCTGGGCCATATTTTATTATTAAGTTGTTGGGCCTAGAAGGCCATATTTTATTATTAGGTTAAGGAGTATTTAAGGAGGTCTTGGGAACTATTATTGATTATCGAGAATAAAGATTTGGTTTGAGCCTAAGGCTGGGCAGTCGTTCACACCGTCTGCTAGGGTTTCTTTTTCTGCTTCTATCAATTTGGTCCGACCAAATTTGGTCGGACTGCCATGGTAGCCATGGAGGGACCGGCTCTGTACTGGTTCTCATGGACACGATCACGGAGACCAGACATAACCTGGGAGGAGTTTTCACAAGCCCTTGTAGCCCGTTTTGATACGCGATTCAAAGGGAGCACGTTCGAACGGTTGGCCGATGTTAAGCAGACAGGGTCCGTGGAAGATTATGTGAATGTATTCGTGCAATTAGCCAGTCAGGTCCCAGGTTTGAGTGAGGCCCACTACTTGGGGTACTTTATGAAAGGGCTACGAGACACCATTCGCATTTCCTTACGGCTCCTACGTCCGGCTGATTTGGAGGTTGCTATGGAGTTGGCCAAGGATATCGAAGACAACTTAGCCGTACAGTCCGGAGGGAGAATGGAATGGGGTTACAACAATCAGCAGTACCGTTCTAGTAGTTACACCAAAGTTGGCGGGTTTTCTTCCTCGCCAGTTACTGGAACCCAAGGGGCAGCAGGAAGCACAACTTCCTCGCAATCTTCAAGCCGTGCATCGGGGACCGGGTCAACCATGACTGGCCAGTCAGTAAATCGCTCTCGGTTCACACGCCTCTCACCGCAGGAATTGGCAGACCTACGTGCAAAAGGACTTTGCTTTCGATGCAAGAAGCCTTATACCCCTGGGCATGAGTGTCCCTTAAAACAGTTAAGAGTAATGGTGGCGGAGGAAGATGAGGAACTTGACCTCAACCAAACTGAATCATTTATTTCATCTGAGGAGGTTGAGCAGCTAGAGGAACGGGAGGAGCAACAGGCAGCGGCCATGGACTTACCCGTATATTCAATGGCGGGAATTTCTAGTCCTTGTACTATGCGATTCAGAGGCGTAATTGAGGGGTTCACAGTGACCATCTTGGTGGATAGTGGCGCAAGTCACAACTTTATTTCAGCAGCCCTTATACCACGACTCAAATTAAAGACAGAAAAGACGGGGAAGTTTGGTGTACAATTAGGAGACGGTCGACGCCAAGAATCAGAAGGGATTTGCAAGGGGGTGTCGATCTCGCTGCCAGGGTGCGAAGTACAGACAGATTGTTACGTGTTTCCATTAGGAGGAGTGGATGTTATACTGGGAGTAGCATGTCTTGCATCCTTGGGAGAGGTCCGGACCAACTGGGAAACAATGACTATGTCATTTGATTGTCAGGGCAGCCCGGTAAGATTGAAAGGAGATCCAGCACTATGTCGGAAACAGGTGGGATTGCAGGCTCTGCTTCGGACGAGGGATGTGGAACTTTGGGCGATTGTAATGGAAAGAGAGCCCACTACTTTGTTGGGGCCAAATGAAGAGCAAGTGGCTGATGTCTTGCAGGAGTTTGAGGAAGTATTTGGAGAGCCAGAGGGCCTTCCCCTGTAACGATCTACAGACCACCGAATTGAGTTAGTCCCAGGAACGGGCCCGGTATCTGTCCGGCCGTATAGGTATGGGCATAGCCAAAAGGATGAAATTGAAAATCTTGTGTCAGAAATGTTGATGGCAGGCATCATCAGGCCAAGTTCCAGCCCGTTCTCAAGCCCAGTTCTCCTGGTTAAAAAGAAAGATGGTAGTTGGCGATTCTGTGTGGACTATCGGGAATTGAATAAAGTGACTGTTCTAGATAAGTATCCGATTCCAGTGATACAAGAGATGTTAGATGAGTTATCTGGAGCCGTAATGTTTTCAAAAATCGACCTCCGAGCTGGATATCATCAAATACGAGTGGCTGAACCGGATATTTCTAAAACTGCCTTTCGCACTCATAGTGGCCATTACGAGTTTCTCGTGATGCCGTTTGGGTTAATGAATGCGCCAGCCACCTTCCAGTCCACGATGAATGATTTTTTTAGGCCGTTCTTGCGAAGATTTGTTTTGGTATTCTTCGATGATATCCTGATCTATAGTCAGACGGTAGCCGAGCATCGTGAACATTTGACACAAGTGCTGCATATTCTACATCAGAATCAATTCAAGGCCAATAGAAAGAAGTGTGTCTTTGGGGGGTCCAAGGTCGAGTACCTTGGCCACATCATTTCAGCGGCAAGCGTGGAGATGGACCCTGCGAAGGTCCGTGCAGTAGTCGAGTGGCCCCAACCGCGTTCTGTCCGGGAGGTGCGTGGGTTTCTGGGGTTGGCGGGCTATTACCGTCGTTTTGTCAAAAATTATGCACTCGTAGCGCGGCCTCTGACGGCCTTATTGAAGAAAGATGCAGCAGCGGTATTTGAATGGAATAAGGAGGCAGCAACCGCTTTCACTCGTTTGAAGAGCGCGTTGACTGAAGCGCCGGTTTTGGCCATGCCGGATTTCAAGCGCCACTTTGTGATTGAGTGCGATGCATCCGGTATTGGGATAGGGGCAGTATTGATGCAAGACGGCCGACCACTTGCTTATTTCAGTAAATTATTGGCTGATCGCACCCTTACTAAATCAGCCTATGAACGTGAATTAATGGGACTGGTTTTGGCAATACAACATTGGAGGCCATACCTCGTGGGTCGTCGTTTTACGGTCCGCACTGATCACCACAGCCTCAAACATCTTCTCACGCAGAAAATTGTAACTCCCTCGCAGCAGAATTGGGTGGCCAAATTACTGGGGTATGATTTCCAAATTGAGTACAAACCGGGAGTCTCCAATTCAGCGGCTGATGCCCTATCTAGAAGGGCTGATGACGGGGTGTTGTCAGCACTCAGTGTGCCAGATTGGGCAGGGATGCAGGAGGTGTTGGAAGAACAAGAACGTGATGAGTTTATTCTAGGCATTGTGACTGCCTTGAAGACCGATCCAGGCAGCCGAGTGGGGTTCGAAATCATAGACGGCAAGCTGTTTTTTAAAGGAAGGTTGGTGCTGGCAGCCACTTCCGAGTGGATTCCGAAGCTGTTACACGAATTTCATGACACACCGGAAGGGGGGCATGCAGGGGCACTCAGTGTGCCAGATTGGGCAGGGATGCAGGAGGTGTTGGAAGAACAAGAACGTGATGAGTTTATTCAAGGCATTGTGACTGCCTTGAAGACCGATCCAGGCAGCCGAGTGGGGTTCGAAATCATAGACGGCAAGCTGTTTTTTAAAGGAAGGTTGGTGCTGGCAGCCACTTCCGAGTGGATTCCGAAGCTGTTACACGAATTTCATGACACACCGGAAGGGGGGCATGCAGGGGCTCTCAGGACATAGAGACGATTGGCGAGCGGTGTGTACTGGAAAGGCATGTTCCGTCAGGTGCAGGAATATGTGGCCAAATGTTTGATCTGCCAGAAATCAAAATACGAAACTATGTCACCCGCAGGACTCTTACAACCGCTGCCAATTCCAGATTTAGTTTGGGAAGACGTGGCCATGGATTTTATTACTTGTTTGCCTAAATCTCAGGGGTATACATGTGTTATGGTGGTGGTGGATAGGCTGTCCAAGTATGGACACTTCATTGCATTAAAACCGCCAATTACAGCTCGATCTGTGGCTGATATTTTCGTACGAGAGATCGTTCGGTTGCATGGTATGCCGGGATCCATAGTCAGTGATAGGGACCCGCTATTCATCAGTACCTTTTGGAAAGAATTGTTCCAGCAGTCAGGTACCCACTTGAAGTACAGTTTTGCATACCACCCCGAAACAGATGGCCAAACGGAAGTGTTAAACCGTATTTTGGAGACATATCTTCGTTGCTTCACATGTGACCAGCCTAAGAAGTGGCTTCGTTGGTTACCTTGGGCAGAGTATTGGTACAATACTGCTTACCAAACGGCTGCCAGGATGACTCCTTTTGAAGTGGTGTATGGAAGGCCGCCTCCATCCTTACGGCGGTTCTTACCAGGTGAGTGTCGGGTGGCGGCCGTGGCAGAAGTTCTGGGGGGACGGGATGAGCTGCTGCGTCGCTTGAGGGGTAATCTAGAGAGGTCACAACAGCAAATGATTAAGCAGGCAAACAAGCGCCGGCGGGAAGTGATATTTGAAGTCGGGGACCGTGTCTTCCTGAAAGTTCGACCGTATCGGCAAAATTCTATAGCAAGCAAGCTCATCACAAGCTAGCTGCCAAGTTCTATGGCCCATTTGTGGTCGAAGGACGTGTGGGTCCAGCCGCATACCGACTGTCTCTCCCGGCCTCTAGCAGGATCCACCCTGTTTTTCATGTGTCGCAGTTACGCCGGGTGGTCAAGGATCATCCCATTGAAACAGAGTTGCCAGAGAGTTTGGAAGTACCTATTGGACCGATGTTCGAGCCTGCTACTGTTCTGGCTTCGCGGAATGTGCAGGAGAAAGGGAAAGATGTGGAGCAGGTGTTGGTGCAGTGGGTTGGTCAGTCAGAAGATGATGCTACGTGGATTGGGGTGCAGCAGTTCCAGCAGTAGTTCCCTAACTTCAACCTTGGGGACAAGGTTGTTTTAGAGGGGGAGGAAATTGTTAGAGAGCAGGAGGTAGTTGGGCCGACAACCCAGTAGGAGGCAACTGGTCCGCTACTTCAGGGGGACGGGCCTCGCCCATTATTGGTTTACCGTCGTCGCCAGCGGGCCTAGATGGGCTGGATTAACTGCTAGGTTTTATTAGTTTATTTTATTCAATTGTTATTTCTATTAAACTGCTGGGCCATATTTTATTATTAAGTTGTTGGGCCTAGAAGGCCATATTTTATTATTAGGTTAAGGAGTATTTAAGGAGGTCTTGGGAACTATTATTGATTATCGAGAATAAAGATTTGGTTTGAGCCTAAGGCTAGGCAGTCGTTCACACCGTCTGCTAGGGTTTCTTTTTCTGCTTCTATCAGCCCCGCGCGCGTGTCCTATTATGTTTAGGGGTTAAGTTTTACTCTCTATAAATACAAGCTCTCTCCTTTGTAATCACTTGATCCGAAATTAATAGCAATTCCTGGCTTGGTAGCGCCCCCAGACGTAATCATTCGTGGTGAACTGGGTTACCAAATTTTGTGTATTCGTTATTATTGTTTTCATGTTGCGTTAATTAAATTCTATCATTTGGCATCAGAGCCCTAGGTTCGAAGGGAAGAAACACGATGGCAGACAATTTGAAGACCCTGTTGATGCAGTTTGATGGAACGGATTTCGATTTCTGGAAGTTGTAGATCGAAGATTACCTGTACGGTAAAGATATGTACCAACCTCTGTATGACAAGTCGGAAGAGATGAAGGAGAGCGATTGGAAGTTGCTGGACAGGAAGGCGATGAGCATGGTTCAATTGTCGCTATCCAGAAACATCGCTCTACACACCGTCCAAGCAAAAACAATGAAGGAGATGTTGCAGATTTTATCGGATATGTACAAAAACCATCTTCTGTGAACAAGGTTCATCTGATGAGACGTCTTTTTAACCTAAAGATGTCAGAAAGCACGACAGTTGTGGAGCATCTCAACGAATTCAATTTAATCACCACATAGTTAAGCGCGGTTGAGATCAAATTCGATAACGAAATTCAATCCCTAATTCTGCTGTCTTCTCTACCAAAAAGTTGGAACGGAACGATGACTGTAGTCTGCGCTTTAGCAGGGAAGGAGAAGTTGAAATTCGATGAAGTCAGAAATTTGGTGGTCAACAAAGAAATTCGAAGGAAGGAATCAGGTTTGACTTCAAGATCGGCATTGAGTACAGAGAACCGGGGCAGATCGAAGTCAAAGTCAAAATCAAATCGAGAGAGTTCAAGATTAAAATCCAAATCAAACAGCAAGGGTAGGAAAGACAGAAGTCAGATCAAGTGTGTGAACTGTGAAGAGTATTTACACTTCAAAAGCCAATGCAAGGAGCAGATCAAGGATCAGAAGGAGAAGACATCCGCAAATGCAACCGCTAATTCATCTGACGATTTTCTCCTGATCCTGAGCTTAGAGTCATGAGTTCTCGATTCTGGAGTTTCGTTCCATTCATGTGGTAATGCTGAAGTGATGGAACAGTATACTCCCGACAATTTTGAAGAGGTGTATCTTGCTGATGATGAACCTCTGAAAATTGTCGGAAAGGGTACCGTGCAGGTGAAGACTCCGAACGGATGCACGGCTGAAACTAAATGGTGTCCGACACATTCCTGGTTTGAGGAGAAATCTACTTTCAGTTGGGCAGCTGGATGAAGAAGGTTATGCAGTTACATTCGGCAGCAGAAATGGGAAGATCACTAAAGGGGCAATGTTAATTGCTAAAGGGAAGGAGGGTACTTTGTACATGACAATGAACTCGAAGGACTGCATTGATGTTGCTGCCGCTGCAACAAACGTGTAAATTTGTGGCACTATCGTCTCGATCACATGAGCGAAAATGGGATGAAGGAGCTGTGCTTGAAGGATAAACTGCCCGGCCTGAAGACTGTTGAAGTTGGCTTATGCGAGGACTGCATATTCGGGAAGCAGAAACACGCCAGTTTCTCGAAGGGGAGAAAAGCTATTAAACCAGAGAAGCTGGAACTAGTTCACACCGACCTTTGGGGACCTGCAGAAGTTACATCCTTAGGAGGATCCGCCTACTACATGATCTTTATTGATGATGCTACAAGAAAGGTGTGTGTTTATTTTCTCAAAAATAAATCCGATGCCTTTGATGCTTTCAGGAGGTGAAAAGCTCTTGTTGAAATGGAGACATGTCTGCAATTGAAGTGTCTTCGGTCTGACAATGGAGGTGAGTATGAACTGCATGAGTTCAAGAAGTTTTGTGCTGAGAATGAGGTTCGTATGGAGAAGACAACAAAAGGGACTCCACAGCATAATGGCGTTGCTGAATGCATGAACGGAACACTGAATGAGCGGGCCAGATGCATGAGGTTGAAGAGTGGCTCAACAGAAGTCAAACAATCTCGTTGAAGAATGACATACCTGAAGAAAGATGGACATGTAAAGAGGTGAATCTGTCTTATCTTCACATATTTGGTTGTGTTGCTTATGTTCATATCAGTTCTATTGACCGAAGCAAAATAGACGCAAAATCTGTCAAATGTACGTTTGTTGGGTATGGTGGTGATGACTATGGATACAGATTCTGGGATGGGCAGAATAGGAAAATTATTCGTATCCGAGATGTGGTTTTCAATGAACAGGTTATGAACAAGGACATATTGAGTGCATCTGATTCTGAGCGAGACAGTCCGAAGATCATTGAGTTAGATATCTCTAATTCGGGTGGGAGCAAGCAGGATCAGAATGAAGAGGTGAGCAGTGATGAAGATCCATCAACACCACCACGACAAAGACCTACCAGAAACCGAAGAGCACCGAATAGGTATTCACATTCTAATTTCTATTTGTTGCTTACTGATGATGGTGAACCTGAGTCCTATGCAGAGGCAGTTCAGGTTGATGATAAGGGAAAGTAGAAACTTGCAATGGATGATGAGATGACATCTCTCACATCCAATGATACTTGGAAGTTAGTTGAGCTACCGAGTGGAAAGAAGACTTTGCACTGCAAGTGGGTCTACCGCATCAATAAGGAGGCAGATGGTAGCAAATGCTACAAAGCTAGACTGGTTGTGAAGGGATTCGAGCAACGTCATGGTATTGATTATACCGACATATTCTCTCCAGTTGTGAAACTAACTACTATTCGGTTAGTGTTGGGGTTAGTTGCTGCAGAGAACTTGCGGTTACATCAGATGGATGTAAAGACCACATTCCTTCATGGTGATTTGAATGATGAGATTTACATGATGTAACCGGAGGGCTACGTGGCAGAAGGCAGTGAGGGTTTGGTGTGCAAGTTAGTGAAGAGTCTGTACGGGCTGAAGCAAGCACTTAAGCAGTGGTACAAAAAAATTGATGGTTTCATGAGGGAAATCAGTTTCTTGAGATGCCACACCGACAATGAGATGCCACACCAACAATTGCTGCTGCTACAAGAGGACTGAGAACTGTTATCTTATCTTGCTATTATATGTTGATGACATGTTAATTGCAGGAACTAGTTCAAAGGAGATTGAGAAGCTGAAGAACTAGTTGTCAGAACGTTTTTCCATGAAAAATCTTGGAGAGGTGAAACAGATTTTGGGCATGTGAATTGAGAGAGATGAGGCAGCGGGCAAACTGTTTCTTTCACAAGCATAATACATTCAGAAGGTCGTGCAAAGATTCAGAATGCAAGATGCAAAGGCAGCAAGTGTACCACTGGGTAGTCACTTCAAGCTTAGCAAGGAGTATTCGTCAAAGAATAAGGAGGAGTAT